GAAATGTGAAGCGGAGGCAGCTGTGCTTGGCGGCCTCCCAGGGAAACGCCAAGAACCGGGGCCTGGCGCTGGTGCGCGGGGACCGTCTGTCCATCACAGCCCGGCCCTGGTGGGCGCCCTGGGAGCTTCCTAGCCGCTGTAGCACTTTCCTGCAGCCGCAAGACCAAGGGCTCCGTGCGCAGGGGGTCGGGTCAGAGCAGCACCTGCCCACAGCGAGCGACGTCTCCCCCGTGCCCGGAGCCTCTGAAGGGAACCGACTTTCAGGGAACAGCACAGGATGAGGGTGACGGCGATATACAGAGCGTGCTTGCACACACGTAGTACGGGGAAGGACTTACTGCCGTGAATCCGCGCAACGATAGTCCCCCGGCTTAGAGCACATCTGTCCGTCATTCATGCACTCTCCCAGGCAGCTCTGGAAGTCCTCTTACTTACGTGAACGTCTTTAAAAGGTTTGATCAAAAATACGGAGAGTGCAGCCTTGCTCTGTGTATCTGAGCAAAACGTTCTGTGGGTGCCACCCAGTGGGGCAGCAGGGTCCTAAAAGTATCGCACTGGGTCCTCACCCACCTTATTCACCAGATCTGGCACTGTGCAACTTCTAGCTCCTCCCCAAAGTCAGAATGACCTCACAAGGAAAATACTGAATCAGTTCAACGGTGCCAGGAAAAGACAGTCAGGAAAGAGGACTCCACAGCTACTTCGGGAAGTGACACGAACAGTGAGATACATGTTTTAGAAGCACAGGGGAGTATTTTGAAGGGAATTAAAGGCAAGGTGCTTTTCATTTCTTAAATTGAAACATTCACCATATTTTTGATCACCCCAGTAGGGTAGGAATAACCAAATAAGTGACACCTTCAAATAACACCTTGCATCTTCTAACCAGGGTCCTCATAGGGCCCCCTGCCCCAGGTTCTCTGTGTGCTCCACCACCATCTCTCTTGTGTCTACCAACCCCAAGTCCCACCTGAAGGCCCAGAGGCTTGGTGAGGTTTTCCACGAGTCGATCAGCTGCAGAGTATGCCAGCAGGGTGGCTCTGAGGTCCAGCCTCACCCATACATCCACCCTTCCCAAGCACGCTCGGTGGGGTCCTGGGCCCCGGGCTCAAGGTGAAATAGTCTTGGCCCAGCTGTTTAGAAAAGTGACCTCCTCTCCTCTCGGTCACCAGAAGGTCTCTGGACCTCAGTTTCCGACTTGTAACAGGAAATCTTCAGCAAAGCTCATTACAATCACCAGGAAACTCCCACCCATGCTTGTTCTCTGCTTCAATTATTATCAGTGTCGTAGAATTAGCTGTCGTATTCAGCCGTACATAGAGAAGTGACTTACTCAGTATTTCTCCCCACGAGAGACAAAGCCATTGCTAAAGAAAGATCTCTGACCTTCCCCACGGTAATTCTTATGACCTAAGACAAGTATATTTATTTTTCATCATGGGCTTTGTTTGAAAAACCCCATCATATTTTTTAAAATTAATGTTTTCATTTTTCTTGTAGCTCTATGGAACCACAAATCATCTATCTTTACCAACATCCCCTTAAAAGAAACCTCTAGAAACATGAGGGGAAGGATGTTAGAGGCATGTATTCCTCACAGCGTCCAAGCCACCATATTTTCACAGGAACTATCTAAGTGTCTTTGAATCTGGCCAGTTACAGAGAACTCAGTGCCTCCGACCACAGCATGCATTATTCCGGCACTTCGCTCCTCGCAAGAAAGCGCTTGGTTTTATGCGCCAGTATCTGCCCGTTCAGTTTCGGTCTGGCCTTTATCATCTTATCTTTACCTTGTCCTCACCTCACAGCAGCTGCCTGAGATAGCGGAGCCGACCGCCAGGCCCTGCGCCCTCCCGTGTCTCACCAGCTATTTCTCCCTTCTCTACTCAACAGCTTTAGGAGCTTTGCGAAGCTGGAATTTTACTTTTCACGTAATCTTTTTAAGATTAGCGCATCTTCTTACTTCCCAGGCAAATCTTTTCCGGCTAACTCTGGAACAGTTTGGCCCGTGTGCTCACTGAAGCCTTGGCCTCTCTTGTCACAAATCTGCCTACGTAGACAAATGATAAATCCTCAGTTACATACAAGTTGTTTCTCAGCCTTACTCTCTTAAGTAACAAGAAGACAGTTCTCACCTGTACTTCACGTTTTGTCTTGGTTCAGACACATCTTATAACCAGAACTAAAATTTTTAAAAGTTTTAGATAATGTAGTCCTCGAATGAGAGCTCTTGATTGGGTTTGCAGAAGTCCAGGGGGTCGATGGCAGAGGTGAAGGCAGGGAGCCATGCTCGGGAAGTCACTGCAGCCCAGGGCAAGAGCAGATGGCTCCACTGGCCACTGAGCAGGAAGTAGCTGCTTTTCTCCAGGACTTCCGCCTAGTGTTTATGGAAACAGCCCTCATCACGTACTAGTTTTTCAGTAAAAAATCTGCACAAGAAATACAACTGTTATGAGTCACTTTCCCACCACTGGAACAAAATACCGAACAATCGCAAGGAGGAGAGGGTTACTTTGGCTCACGTTTCAGAGGGTTCACTCCATGGTTGGCCAGCTCCAAAGCAGAAACAGCAGAGGAGCGAGGTGGATGAAAGGTGCTCACCCACGCCAGCCAGCAGGCGGGGAGAGGAGGGAGGGGCTAGGACAAGAACACAGCCTTCCAGGCCAGGGCCCTGGTGACCACCTCTTCCTGCCAGGCCCCGCCTCCTAGCAGCATGTTCCCCTGAACTCAGGCATGGATGAGTCCGCTGATGGGCACAATGCCCCGTGATCCAGTCACCTCCCACGCATGGGAGCCTGCCGGAGACAGTGTAGACCTAAACCGTAACAATACCTGGACGAGAGTAAAAACAGGCCTGTCCCAACAGTGCCACACAATGGGGAAAGATGGGAGAGTGGATGTGTTTACTGAGACCGCAGTATGTGGCAGCCCAGTGAGAGAAGAAAGCATTTCCAAAGATGTGTTCATGGTACAGGATGTGACTTGGCGTCCACAAACCATTTTAACTTGAATAATTGCACAAATGCCAGTGAGGAGCAGGACTGGGGACAGAGTGCACGATTTTCTAGAATCACCGAAGGGTTTTCTGTAGAGGAAAACAGATAACGCTAGGTAGAAAACCCTGGCGACAGGGTCTTTTCCTACAGTGGGATTTTACTGTCAGACCCATCTACTTACACACCCCCAACTGCCTCTAGTACCTAATAAGGTAGCACAAAGCAGGCATCGCAGAGGATGTGCAGGCCACCCTTAGGCAAAGCTCGGTTTGGACCATAAATGCTGCATTTTATATCACACAGATACCCATTCGTATTTCTGAAAACACCTCAGCACAGTGTTTAACCTAAGGTATGGTTAGGAGAACCTTTCCTCGTATGGCTTGAACCTGCTGCTTCCTGCCTCTTTCTGAGGGCAGGGCAGGGCCACCTCCATAGCTACACACGGCTCCACACTGCCCACAAGCAGGCCACCTCTTTCCAGGGTCAAGTACAGGAATTATTGGCGTCTCCTTGGCTCCTGTAAACTTTTTATTTGTGTGCACTTTTGCGTGAGGACAACCCAAAAGACCTGCAAGAACAGGTGTGGGTGACTACAGACCATTAACGGTCTGGTGATAGAAAATCATACTGGATCTAAAATTAGATCCAAACTTCACACTTATACCACTTTACATCAGTGGGGGCATCTTATCAAAGATTAAACCTTCATTGCAATGAAAACAACAAAAAGCTAATAAAAATTCAATGCAATCCTCCATATATCAATGGACTTTGACCAAGGTATACCATTCCACGCCGTCTGCCAATCCATCCAGAACTCTTTTGCAATGTCATGAATTCTTTGGAAAAGTTGTAGACTAGACACCCAAGAACCGTGAAGAACACAGGCTTTGTAGTTCTACCTATTGCAGATCTCAGTTCTGGGTTTTCCTCGGGCTTCCTGTACTTGCTACTCCTCGGTGCAGTGTCACTACTGCTAATGCCTGAGTTCTGGGCACAGCTTGAGAACCGCACGGGGAAAATGCTTGTAACTTGCTTAGAAAAGAACCTCAGACAGACCGTACCAGGTGCGGCTCTGGGGATGACTGGCGGTGTTTATGGTCTCTTGGTGCCTATTTAACTGAAGGCAGGTTGAGGGTGGGCCTGACAGCAAACGGTACCCGGATGGTACTGGCTCCAGAAGCAAAAGACTTAGCAACAAGAAATAGCCTTCCCCACTGCAGACCTTGGCACTGTTCTATCTGAATGTGGCGGCGCTTATTTCTTTACCTTACAGTCTCGGCGTTGAGTTCCCCGCATATCACCCAAACCAAGGATCCTCCGTCCGCATTGCGTTCAGTTATGCAAGCCCTGAACAAGCCTTAGTGTGATCCCACAACCCCTCCCAGGCAGAGGCTGCGCGCAGATCTCCTCCTGATGAGCACCACAGCGCAGCATGCTCTGTCTGATCTATGCCGAGTGTTTCCGGGCTTTGGTACGATTTCTGAGCCCTGGATATGAGTCATGAATGTGAAAGCCCATTTCTTGCTCCTTTCTCTGGAGAGACCAACTTGGGCCCCATTGTAAAGGGTCTGGCGTCATCTAGTGTCCAAGTAGTGTCACTACAGCTTTGGGACGAAACTACTAGGCAGGCACCTTCTTCACAGGGCAGCCAAGGTCTGTCAGCAGAATCCGGATGACTTCTACTTTCGGCATCACTGGTTTGGGGAAGTTCCGGTCCTGCTTAAGTCCGCTATTTTTCCATATGAGCTCCATAGAATTAAAGACCAGAATATCTCTTGCATTCTGGTAAGGACACAGTCACACCCACGTGGGCTCTCACTGCTGACAGGCCTTGCTGCGTCTCTGTCACTTGCAGCTCTCTCCCAGCCAGAGTTTGCTGCCGACCCCTGGAAACCGCAGCGTGCTTCTCCGGGGCAGCGTGCCCTTTGTCGGAGGCAGAAGCGTTGTCATCTCTCCATATTTCTGATTCCTCTCTCTCTCTTGTTTTCTGAATTTCAGATTGTCTACAAAGCCTGGCTCTGTTCCCAGTACTTTGAAGTCACGCAGTTTAACTGCAGAAAGACAATTCCTTGCAAGCAATACTGTTTGGAGGTGCAGACGAGGTGTCCGTTCATACTGCCCGACAACGACGAGGTCATCTACGGCGGCCTCTCCAGCTTCATCTGCACAGGTAATGGGGCGGCGGCCCGCCAGCACCCCGGGTCCTTCTCGAGGTGCCCTGTTCTTGCTTTGTCGCTTTCCCCCCAGTCACGCACCCTTGAAGATTTGGCGGGTGATTCCCCACGCATGCGCTAGTAGAAGCGGCAAAAGCCCCAAACCATTTTGAACATCGTTCTGTACCACAGAATCAGCCGAACAACCGGACCCACAGTCTGACTCGGAAAGAGGGTCGTTCAGCGGGCAAAGCGGGAGCAAGCGTTAAGAGTGGCGCGTGACCTAGAGGAGGGGCAGCCCGCCTGCTAGGTCGTCTTCTTCCATACGCGCTCTACCAGAGATGGTGGGACAGGCCGGTGGGATCGTGCTTCTTCAAATTAGGAACAAGGCTGTGTGCCCGTACCTGTGTCCCCGAACCTGTGTTCTGCGAATGACATGTGATCTTAAATAAACACCAGGAGCGAGGAGGAATGTTTGCCTGAGTTATTGTCGAGAGGGGTACAGTAGCTCAGATACAAGCTGATTTTTTATTTCCCATTGACAGTGTTTCCTTCTTTCTACTGAGGACGGGACTGGGCAAACGCTAGCACCAGGGCTCACTTTCTGTATATTTCTGTGAGTTAGACACGGGGACAGATGTAACGAGAAGAGGAGTCAATTTTTGAAAATAAATGCAGAGAGGACGAGCAGGACCCCTCTCACCGAGGTGTGGTGCTCACAGGTTCCTCTGCGTTCTGATGAAGACGCAAATATGCACAGCCTCAAACCCTGCAGCTGGAATCACAGCGCCAACTTTTTTCAACCCATGAGGCTAACACACCGTGCCAAGGGTGGAGAAACGGGAACACTCTTGTTGTATGAGACTTTATGAAACGCCTCTAGAGCAGTGAAGCGTTTGAGTATTCGAGGTGAAAGTTTATCAGATTGTTGCGGGATCGCTTATCCATCTGCCTCACTGTTCGAAAGTAATAAATCAGTCAAGAGACACCCCCGAGGGGGCTGGGGATTTAGCTCAGCGGCAAAGCGCCTGCCTGGCAAGCGCAAGATCGTGAGTTCGGTTCCGGGTACCGGAGAAAAACCAAAAAAAAAACAAAAAACAAAACAAAAAAAAAAAGAGACACCCCCGAAAAGACTCAGTGGTGCACACCTGTCACCCCCGTACTCTGGGAGGCTGAGGCAGGGGGATTGCAAGTTTGAGGCAGCCTGGGAAACTCAGTGATTGAGCAAGAAGCCATCTCAAAATTAAAATAAAAATTAAAAAGAGGGACTAGGGATGCAGCTCAGCAAGGCCCTCATAGGGGACAGCAGCCTGGGAAGTGTAAAGCGATTCCAAAGTCGTTTCAGGTTGGGAGCTGGAATCTCTTCTGCTGGGGAGAGGAGAGGAGGAGGGAGAGAGGAGGTGGAAGGAAGCAGTTAGTATCTTCTTGGGTCCAGGAGTGCATTCACTCGGACGTCCAGGAAGCACCCTGCGCGCATGCCTGCAGTCCGAGGCCTTCCTTTCCCACTGACTCCGCGGTCTGCAGAAGGAGCATGCGCTCAGGTGCGTCCTGCGCCTCAGACCCGGGTGGACCCAGGGCCTCCTCTCCCAGCGGCACCAGCAGCCCCCTTTTCTTCAGTGTGGAAATAGGGTCTCCTGCGTCAGGAACCCCAGCTGCTCCTGGACGCCGTCCTGTCTGAGCTCCAGCTGGGCTCCCTGAGCTCCCCGCGCTGCCTTCCCGGGTCCTGAATGTAGAGCAAAGGAAGGCAAGGAAGCCAGGGTCCGGCCTGGGCGTTCCTCGCCTCTGTCACCTGTATCTGTAGCTCTGAAATGCGCCCTGGGGCGTTCACCTCCTTCCTCTGGCCTCTGTCAAGGCCTCTAGAAACCAAAGATGGTATGAAACCTCCCTCTCCTCTGGACGGGGCTGACACAGATTGAAGTTTAATTACTTTCCGGCTTTCTAAAGGCCCCTTCATCAGCAGGACTGTCAGTAAGGAACGCAGCTCGGTACGCGGGAGGATGCGGCCACCTCCCTGGGAGCCCGGATGTCCGCTGCCCTAGTCCCCAGCTCCGGTCCCTCAGCACCGAGTGACTCTGAAGTGGGGACCGAGCAGCCAGCGCTCACCCGGGGCTTCTGTGATGCCGAAGAGTCGGGTGGCTCTTCCACATCGTGTCTCTTCCACAGTGGCCTCCACCCACGGGTACAAAAGCCCCTGGTGACTGGACTCGGGACCTGAGGGAGATGCGCTCCTGGTACCTGCTGCTGGACCCCGGGCTTGACAGGCGCGTCCGTGAGAGACTGCACACAGCCCGGACGCCCTGTGATCCGCCTGAGCTCGGAGCAGACACACCTCGCCCTCTGTTCTCAGAGAGGAGCAGGTTAAATCCCAAAGACAAGCAGGACCACTTTGCCTGTCCGCCTGGCTCAGGGACCAAGTGCCGCTGGACGTCAGGCTTGTGGCACTGGGCTCCCTGCAATGGTGCACAAGGAGTTACCCTGGGCACCAGCGGACCCACTCAGGAAGAAGGGTCCATCTAAGTCGTTGATCCTAAGCTTTGCCACTAGGAACTTTTCCCTTCCACAAAAGTTAGTTCACGAAGTTACTTATGTTTTAGATCCTGAAAGACATAATAGTTTATCACTAAGAAAAGAAGGCATTGTTCCTTCAAGTTCAAAACATTTAAGCACCCTGGTGTCCTCCTATAGGAAAGGCACTCTAGTTGGAGGCCCTAAAGGACGGGGATCCTTATGCATCAGCCTGGGGATGCTTCGCAGCCTGGTTCCATCGGTGTTGGAGAATTCAGCAAATGCTTTTAGCTGCACGGGCTCATCGTCAGGTGCTGCCCGCGGAGGACCAGTTTCGTTCACAGGGCTTCTAGGGAGTACGGGGGCTGCGGCCGCTCCCCTCTGCTCCCACCGCTCACTGAAGTGGGGTTGCAGGACCCTGCGCTTCGTCTCATAATTTGTTAGAAGAGCATCGATGCTCAGGCTTGCTTTTCAGTTTGTACATCTATTGGTCCGTATTTGTGGTACACAGTGATTCCACCGAGGGAAGCTGGCACGTGGACCAACGCATCCGCCTTCTCTCCTCACCCTCCGCTCCCTGCTCCTTCCACAGCTTTGTCCCCTTCCTATTCGCAAATGACATCACAGCAAATTAAGAAGTTGCTGCACAGCAAAGGAAACAACCAGCAGAGTAAAAGGACAACCTACAGAACTGGAAGCATGTTTTACCAGCTATTCTCAAGACTAGCATCAGTAATACATACAGAATTCAAATACATTAGACTCCTAGGGTGGAAAGATCCATTCAAAACAATGGGCAACCAAAGTGAATGGACACTTCTCAGAAGAAGGACAAACGGCCAATAAACACCTGAAGAATGCTCAACATCCCTGACCACTACAGAAACGCAAATTAAAACAACACTGGGATGCCACCTCGCTCTGGAAAAAACTGCCGTGATGATTTTTAGGGTTCTTTTTGCCCACTGCCTCACGTGGTGACCCATCCTTATCTTCAGAGCTCTGTGAGGCTAAGGCAGGAGAATCTCAGGTTCAAGCCCAGCCAGAGCAACTTAGTAACTTAGCGTGACACTGTCTCAACATAAAACCTGAAAAACTGAGCTAAAAATGTGGCACAGAGCAAATGCCCCGGTTGAATCCCCAGCCCTAGAAAAAAAGAAAATGAATTCTTATTATCCACAGAAAAGTAGAATCCCTCTTGGGTTTTGTAAATTTTTGGAAGCCTCAGACAAGATGAAGTTTCTCTCCATAATGAAGAGTTACTTAGAGTTTTGGTAACAGTTACGAAATTCAGCATTCAGTGTCTCTTCCTTGCGGCGCTCGCGTCCCGTGCACAGATCCTAAATGCGAAAGTTTTAAACTTACATTTTTGATCCTCTGCTGTTTTATATGACTTGATCCACGACGAAGAAAAGAAATGCACGAAGGGCCGGGCCTGGCCGGTCACGAGACATTGTGAGAGTTCCGGTGAATTGTGTGAGGCCTTTTCCAGCCGTGGTGAGGTCGGTTCTGCAGGCCGGGTACTCACGGCGCACGCCGCTTCTCCACGCTGTCAGCAGGGTTTGCACGCGCAGGGCCGTCGCCCCCTGGAGGCGCTGCTTCGGTACTGCAGGCGACCCCAGGCCACCAGCAGGCGGGACATCAGAAGACGCATAGAAAATCTAATATAGACGTTTTTTGTCTCATACTCCACTCTTGAGAGAGTGCACAACTGGCAAAGAAGAAACATTCCTCCAGAATCCTCTTCTGACTCGTCCAGTGAGTTGAGATTAAAAAGGCAGAAAAAATCTTCTCTTTCAAGTACCTTAGTACAAAAACCTGTTTCCCATTGACTTTAAATAGAATTTTAAGGTGATTTCCCGTGTTATTTTTCAATGTACGACTCTCTTCCCATATGCTGGTATGTGCAATGTTCAAATATTATTCAGAAATAAAGCTTTTAAAACATAATGAAATTCTGCTTGAGTTATAGCATCATTTGATGCTACACAACTTCTTTTCATAAATTTGAAGAAGTTTAGGCCAAAAGAGAAATGTGAAGGAGGGGGGATGTTGTGTGCAGAATAAAACACAGCCATGAGAAAATAGGTTACTAAACGCCTGAGGAGTGCAGCCACTTCCCAGGACCTTACTTCCTCCAGCGCTGTGTTTTGCTGAGATCAGGTCTTCCCGCTTAAGGCTGCTTTCCTGGACTTCTACCTCCGAGTGACTTCCAATGCCTCCTGGGCCATATTCCGGAGAATCAGGGCAGGGAGGCGATGCTGGGTGCACACCGGATGCCTGGCCTGGCTGGAGCGGCGGGTTCCAAGTCACACTCGAGTCCACAGGTAGTGCAGGACTAAAGGATCCCGGCTCCAGCCACAGAGGTGACGCCTGTGTGTGAGAACACTGCCTCATGGGAGAAATCCTACTGGAGTTCTGGTTGTCCTTCTGCGCTGCACGGCTCTACCTTGCCTGCTGTCAGGGGAGAAGTTGAGCGCATGAGACCAGGCTCAAGGAGGACCTGCTGGAT